CACAATAAAATTACAATAAAGAGCACTGCTCATTTCTCACAAAATTTACAAACCAGATCAGTCAACACTTACAGAAAATTTACAGTCACACACGAAAAAAGAAGAAAAACAGTGATTTCTGGCAATCACAAGAGAAACTTGTAGTTTAGCCAAGAAAATAACAAACATTTCCTATTTATCATTCCAAGGCCCTTCACACTATGTACCTTGCATTCTTTTTTTCTTCCAATTTTTGTCAGATAGGCTTTGGAAAAAAAATAACTACTTCTCTAGCTTCCCTTGATTTAACTAGTTTTTAGATGGTGGGAAACACTTAGGAGCTCATGAAATCTTTGTGTACCCTAGAAGTGTGCAATGTCCTCAGAAAAGAATTTGGTAACTTGAAGGCTTTTGTGGTGAGGCCCAGGAGTCCTGGTAGATGTCTCTGAAGAAAAGAGACAGAGCACAACAGTGGCAAATCAAAGCCATTTTGTAAACAAAAAATGATTCACCTTTGTCCTTGGCTTTCTCTTTCTCTCTTTTTAATACGTTCTGTATTTTGTTCGAATAATCTGGCCCCACCCAGACTGATGTGGTTCAGTGTGGATTGAGTGTCTGCTTGAAAACTGAAAGGTCGCTGGTTCTATTCCCTGCGGAGCACATGCCTGGGTTGCAGGTCAGGTTCCCAGTTGGGGGCATATGAGAAGCAACAATTTGATGTTTCTCTCCCTCTCTTTCTCCCTCCCCTCCCCTCAAAATAAATGAAATATTTTTTAAAAAAAGAAAAATGCTAGTTAAAAATAATAAATAAATAAATAAATAAATAATCTGGCCCCTTTTACTGTGAATTTCTGTCTTGTCCTACTAAATCTGTGATTTTTCTTGTCCCATAGAGGGATTATCTGATAAAGAAAAGAGTAGAACCCTGTGCTATTATTTTTAGCAAGGAAAGAGATGTCACTGACTCAGAGGTCATTAAGTCACAACCTTTGGGTATTTTTCCAGAGGTGGGGGGTAGACAAATCTCTGTTTAGTGAACCCTGATTGATGACTTAGGCAGGTGGAATGGAGCCAGCCACAGAAGCTATTTTCAGCTTCGGAGTTGTGTTATTGGTGAGAAACCAAGTAATGTTGACCTCAGTATCCTATGCTGATGAGCAGGGAGTCAACTGGCTCAGGCACATCAGGGAGTATGTTAAAAGTGCCTTCTCTCCTCCTCCCTATAAATAGCATTGAATCAGACAACTGATGAAATCTTTAAGAAGAAAGCAGAAATAATACTCAGATGTGTTTAAATATACATGATTTGCCTTGAGCTCAACAGCTACCTCCAAAAACTGAAAGCAGAGTGGAAGATTTCATGCACAATTCATCTCTTGGACATACAAGAAATGTAACACAAATATAGCAAAATTTAGGGCTTGGTCCAGATGACTTCCAACAAGAGCAGATCTCGGCAGAGGCATAGAAGGCAAATTCTGTTTACAGGCATTTGGCAATAGCTTCTTTGGGCCACACTAAGAGAGAAGTGGTTCAATGACTATAATATAAAGAAAAGCTGTACCAAAACTCACAATCTTGCAGTCAAACTAATATTTTATTAGTTTTTTAAACATTAAGAAAGTCCTCTTCATCTGTGTTCACTTTGAGTGGGGTTGGGAGTAGAAGAAATAATACAAGAAGCAAAAGTTTGACTTTTAAATAAGGGAAACGTTTTTCAAGGTTGTTCAGAAAGCTCTTCCTCACCTCTTGTTCAGTGTTTTTTGTTAACTATAATAAAACACGTTGTATCATACTCTGGCAGCCCTTTTTCATAAGAGGGTCTCAAAGCAAGTCAGTGCTTAATTAAGGACCCAGTCACAGTTAGGTTCAGGGAGGTGACAGCTGGGCCAAAGCAGGAACAAAGCAGATCAGCCCAATAATTTAGAACATGAAGGGAAGTTTTATGTACTCCCTTGAAAACATGATTACCACCGCTCACCACAGCTCCTGCTGAGAGAGCAGGAGAAGCAAGTGTTGGAACCTGCAGTAAAAAAGTAAAAAGGATTCAGGAAGGGAGGTGATCATCCACTTCACCCTCAATGAGAACCCTGTCTCTGCTTAAGGGGCTGTGCAGGACTGTCAGAATTGTCAGATCAACTAAACAATGGGAAACTTGTGGCTAGGGACAGGGGTGAGGCCAAGAGAGGGAGGTACCATGGAGTAGTTGTGAAGGCATCTAACTGGCACTTGTTGCTTTTCTGTCCTGCCTGCTCACTTTCCCTCCATTATCACCAGTCAGCACTCATTCCATTCCTTTCCATGCCAGGAATTCAGCTACAGGCTGGGGCCAGGCAATTAAAACAGAATCACTTTCAAGAACCCTGAAATCGTTCTTGAGAAAAAGCGCGCTAGGGACAAGGAACTGAACGTTGCTCCTGAATGTTAAGAAAGATAAGATTTGGAGCCCAGAGATAGGAGACTTGAGTGAGATCACTGCCATCAGGGTAAGGTAGAGATAGCTCTTCACCCATCCACATTATCTCCTCTCACCCCCTACACCAGTGGCCAGATATTGCTGGGAACCAGATGTCAGTTCAGTTGAAGGAAGAACTTTCCTAGTTAGAGCTGTCCAAAGATAAAAATGAAATACGTTGTGCAGTGGTGAGCTCTGGGCCACTGCAGTTATTGGAGAAGGGACCGGATAGCTATCTGATGGGATTCACAAGGCCCCTTTCAGACCTAATAGTTTGTGAATTTACAGAGGGCTGGTCTGCTAAAGGGCCAGTTCTGGGTGGACTAGTCTGCTCTGCTCTGGCCTGTCATAAGGATGTTGAAGAGGACAGCTCAGGAACAAGTTGTAGGGCAAAAGCCTGATAATGAAGTAGTTGGGGACTGGGGGTAGGAGTAGAGGTGATGGGATTTATAGAGCTGCCAAAACAAAATACCACAAACCAGGTGGCTTTAAACAATGGAAATGCAATGTCTTATAGCCCCAAATCGAGATTTCGGCAGAGTTGTTTCCTTCTGAGAGTCCTAGAGGAGAATCTGTTGCATGCCTCTCTCAGCCTTGGGTAGCCCAGATGTTCTTTGGCTTGTAGACACATCACTCAAATCCTCTGTCATCACATGGAGTCCTCCTCATCTGTCTCCACATGACCACCTTCTTATAGGGATACTAATAATACTGGATTAGGGGCCCACCCTACTGCAGTATGACTTAATATTAATTTAACTAATTTGATCTCCAACTACCATATTTCCAAATAAGGTTACATTCTGAGGTGTTGGCAGTTAGGACTTCAACATAGCTTAATTTTAGGCGGACACAATTCAACACATAACAGGAAGCAACTTGCTAAATCACTGAGACCTCCTCTTTTCCCATCTGTACAACTCTAGGACTGACACTTCATGGAGAGAGTCTGGGTGGCTACAGTGGACACCACTCCCTCTGCTGGCCCTCCCTTGACTTTAGATACAGCATAGTTCTGAGCTTGTTCCCAGGGCTTCAAAATTCTGCCTTTCCCTATACTCCACAGAACCACTTCCACTCATGACAGACATCCACAGCACTCCCAACCCAGACACCCACATATATATCCTAATACCCTAGAGCCTTAAGCTCTTCCCTTCTCTATATCAAAGTCCTTCCTGAAATCTTTTATTTACACCCAGGCACAGAAAAACTTGAAAAGTGTGGTTGAGGATTTTGTTTTTTGTTTTTCTTCTTTGAGATTCTCACGAAGACCTCCAGAGCTCCCAAGGCTCTGGCTTATTTCACTCAGTGTTGCACACATGGTTACCTTAAGTGAATTTCCCAGATTTAGGGGGAAAGACATTATAAACCACAACTCTAGAAATTTCTGCCAGTAATTCCTTCCATGGTGTTACCAGCACAGAAGGAGACTGTGGTAAAATGCAGAAACATCAGACTAGAAGACACAAATCTGAAGTTCTATGAACACACACCATGGGAGAGTGGTGTGACAATAGTGGTCAGGTCATTTCCCCTCTGTGTCCTTCAATTTCTCCAAAATTTATTTCTGAAAATAAATTAGACAATTTCAATGCTGATATTGTGCTTTCACAAAAGTCAATATTCTATGATTTCACAATAGGTCTCTAAGGGTCATTTCAATGCTGATATTCCACAATTTAGTAATAGAGTTAAATTTTTCATGTGGGTTAAATGGAAGAAAAAAGGAGACATATAACTGTGAAAGTCAGCTCGTATCTTTGAGGAATGATGTCACCTTTTGAGACCCAGTTATCCCCTCTATAAAACACAGAAATACCAATATGGACTTCATAAGGTGGTGGGGATGAGGAGGGTGTTCGGAGCGATTTACAACCCTGCGCTGAGGGAAGCCAGGAACCCCTCTCTCGGAATGTTCTATAAAACGGTCCTGAGCCCCCAGCACCAATGGTACCGTCAAGCCCGCAGAGAGGGCCGGGAGGGGCGGGGTGAGAACGTTGGCTTTGTTCTGCCCCGCCCCCCGCCCTAGATATCGCGAGAGGGCCGGACCCGTTCGTTGGCTTCAGCGTCGGCGTCGCTCCGGCGCTTGGGCAATAGGCTGGCTTCTCTCCGCCGGCTGCGGTTAAAGTGCTGGTGGCTGAGGGCGGGCGTAGAGCGGCCAGCCGCGCGGCGTCGGCTGGACGCCAAAGCGTCGGGGTCATTGTGTCGTGAGAGCGACCCCGCTAATCGTCTCTGCTACTGCAGGTGAGGGCGCTTTAGCCCCGAGCGGGCTTGGCGGCTGCCTGGCGAGTCTCGGCTCGCGCCTAGACCTTTCCTTCCTGGACCCGACGCCAAGCAGCGACCCTGAGCCGACCGCCGGAGGGGCGGGCAATGGCGGCCTCGACGGCCTCGCACCGGCCCATAAAGGGAATCCTAAAGAATAAGAGCTCTACGACTTCCTCTGTGGTGGCCTCGGCCGAACAGCAGCCTGGCAGGAGTGTCGACGAAGAACTGAGGTGAGTCTCGAGGGGTGGCCGCTCGTGGCCCTGGTCAGCCTGGGAAGCCCCTCCCCGCGGCTACCGACCTGGACCCCGGATCCTGAGCGCGGGCGTGCGGGGAGGCTGCGTGGATGCGGCTCCGGTGCCACCCGGGTCCCCCTCCTCTGGCCATCCTGAGGGGCGGAGTGTTTCTAAAGAAGGCGGCAGCTATGACGCGTTCATCTCTCTCTTTATTTTAAGTATATACGCATATATAATATTTTAAAACCACACATCATAACCTTTGTATTTTTGGATATTGGAAACATTAAGAATCAAATTGAAGTCCAAAAGCTTCACTTGTTAAGCATTTTTTTATTTCTTAACTTTGTGTCCGAGGGATCTAAAATTATTCAATAATTAAAGTATTTTCTTGGCTAGGGAACCCTTGGCTTGGGAACTCGTTTCAAAAAAATAGACAGTTTCATTTTTCTAATTGTCCTTCCACAGTCATTCCTTTTTAAGTTAACATTATCAAAAGCATCATGCTGCACTCACACTCTCGTGTCCTGGGTTGTCATTATTTCTACACCTAAGAGGAACCAAAATTTCCGGAGTCTTTTTTATCTGTATTTAATGGAAGACTACTTATTGTTAATTATATTTTCATCTGCAGCCAGAGTTTGAGTGCTTTCTAGTCTTTGTTCTTTTCGGAAGACGTATCTAATCTCAGGCAGTTAAGAAAGTAGCAATTGAAAATAATCCAGTGATAATTTAGTTACTCCTACATACTCACAGGTACACATGTAAAAAGACATTGACCCCATAGTACTATGTGTAATAAATACAGGAGGCAACCCAAGGTCCATTAGTAAGACTGGTGAAATATTAAATATGGTACATCTGTATAATGAAACAACATACCAGCCTTTTAAAAAGAGTGAGATTAAATAGATGCTTATGTACAGAGAAAGATATGTAAGGAGGAATGCTCAATGAAAAAAAATAGCACTGATCACCTCGTGGAATAGCAGTGCTATGGGACTTGGTATAAGCTACTAAAAATATAAGGACTCTACATTTTGAAAATAAGACTTAAGAAAGCTTACTGAAATCTGTAGTCATAAATGTAAAATGAGGATGTTCAGGAAACCCTAGAATACTGGAACTAGGGCACACCTGTTTGAAGAGCCATTTTAGGTCTATAAAAGGAGCTACTAAGGGATAGTAAATTTATGTGGATTTGTGTTACCTTGAAGAAAACATAAGTAGGATCACAGCTTAGAATCATGACTTTTGGGGTTGGAAAGGACTAGTTTGTCTAGCAACTCCTCCACCCCTACTCTTTTGAATGCTTGACTCTTACATTCTCTAACACAATTTTCTAACCTCTACATGGGATAAGCCACTTCAAATGGGGATGGAGTGGTGGTCCATAGTTGTAGGTCATGGGATTCTCTCCAGAACATAGTGTTGTATAACAGGAAGACGGAGATAGTTTAAAAAATCAAAACAAACTGTTGAAGGCTTTTATGGAGCTTCAGGGTATCTTGGCAGCAGGAGTACAGTTCTCACTAGCATTATGTTTTTAGCAATTCTCCAGTGTGAACTTTTATTTTTGTATGGCTACCAAGTAGCTTATAGTTTTCTTCTATCTTTCTCTGCTTTCTTAACTTCCTTTTATTCCCAACATTGATCTGGCATAACACCTGGCCTCACTCTACATATGGCTTGGCCTCTCTATAATTGGGGTTTACCTCCAGATCTTTCTGCCTTGAAAGCCACTGTGTTAGGCTGACTCACCTATATAGGGCTGCTCCTTCTGTAGGAGCTGCTAGCAAGGCAGGTGTCACTACAATAGGACCTTTTACAAGGTGGATGACTTTGATTGATTTGTCTAGTTAGAGGGTTATAGTCCTGTATTTTATTTTATTTTATTTTTTATTGATTTTAGAGTGAGATAGAGAAAAGGAGAGAAACATCAATTTGTTCTTCCACTTATTCATGCATTCACCAGTTGTTTCTTGTACATATTCTGACCAGGGATCAAACCTGCAACCTTGGTATATATCAGATCAATGCTCTAACCAACTGCGCTATGCAGACAAGGCTAGTTCTGTTTTTAAAGGGAGCTACCACTTCCTAATTCATTGAGGTTCATGATGTTTGGCTCTAAGTAATAAAAGGGGATGGGCTTTTTCCATGATCAGTTATATGTGACTGCAAAGCAGAAAGCTAATTCTGTTGGTAATACAGAGACCCTTGAACAACATGGGCTTAAACTGCACAGCTCCTCTTGTATATGGGTGTTTTCTCCTGTTATTTTCTTAATAATGCTTTTTTTCCTCTAGCTTACTTTAAGAATACAGTATGTAATAATATAAAATATACTAAATAAGTTAATTGACTATTTTGTTATAGATAAGGCTTCTGGTCACAGTAAGCTATTAGTAGTTAAATTTTGGGGGAGTCAGCACCCCAACTTCAGTGTTGTTCAAGGATTAACTGTACAATAGGCATTATTATGTATTTATGTCACGGCTCATACAAACAATATTAGCAATTTTATAAGCCTCTTTGAGCACAAACAATAAAAGTATAGTTGAACACATTTGAAACAAACTTTTTGTAATGTATAATTTTAATTTAAATACAACCACTATTTCTCCTTTTATATAAAAGAACTGAAAATAAGTAACTTTCAATTAAATTGCACTTAAAATTCATAAAATAGTGTAATGTAGAGGTCTAACTTTAAATGTTGAAACAGTATAAGGCAAAAAAAAATCTCATGTTAATATGAAAATGACCAGGGCTGTCAATGAGTTCTGATTATTTTTGGTAGTTATGTTCTAGAAAGTCACCACAAACACTGAATTAGTGAATACTGAATCATCGCTTCATGAAGAAATAGCAAAAATTAGGTTTCTATATGCCACTGGTCCCATTTTCATCAACCAGTCAGCATATAACTTTTTAAAAATACTCTTTCTGTTTGACATTGACTTCCAGGTAAACACAGCTCACCTCCTCACACAATTAGATCAAAATTACCTTTAAAATATAGAACAGCTATTATTCAGAAATGTCAGAAATCAAGTTGAATGGAAGTCTGACAACTGTGGAATTAAAGAAACCACATTCATCCAGACTGGTAGGAGGATAGGAGGCACAGAACAGGCTATTCCACACCCAACATGTGGTGGATAAAAATTCAATAGGGATATGTTGGAAGCAAGGAGTCCCAGCCCCACACCAGGGTACTAGTGCAAGGAAGATAAGTGTCCATAACTTTTGGCTATAAAAACCAGCAGGGATTGAGTAGGTGGAAGAAACTACTGGATTCCCAGGAAGTTCCTCTTAAAAGCCCTGCACCAGCGTAGATGGTGTCCCCTACGAGCTGTCCCCTAGCTCTTGCCCTGATGCCAGATCACTTCCTCTGATCTCCAGCACCAGCGTAGCAGCTTGAAAGGCACCAGTGGGAGGAACTGAAGTGTCTGGCATCAGGGCAAGAGCTAGGGGACAGCTTTCTCCCAGACATAAAGGCAGATAGGGTCTATTGTTCCTTTTCTGAACCATCCCCCCACAGAGCTGGCAGGCAGATACCATATCTGGGATTCCATCAACCTGACTTGCACTCTTTGCCTCACCCTGGTGTTTGCCTGAGGCTCAGCTCTACCCAACTTAGGAGCCCACCCAAACTGTTAACATGGTTTTTCCATGTGAGTGGCTGGTCTTGTCTCATTCTACACATCTTCCTAAATCCTCTCAAACAAGCAACAACCAGCCTCAATGAGCCCCCAGCCCTTATACCACTTGTTAAGTTGCCCCAAGTCTGGCACTAGCAGTCTAGGTTCACAGCTTGGCTCCGCTGGGAACCTCCAACTCAATACAAATAGCAGCCACCTGCAAATTACTTTGTAGCTCATGCTGGGAGACCCTGGGCAGAATACAGGTGGGGGCTGACTTTGGCTTGCCTCACCCAGAAATCCCAGAAGCTTTGTACCTGGTAGATAGCTACAAACCACATCAGACACTGACATCCTGCCCCTGCACATCTGATCCTCCATGGAGGGTTGAGGTTGGTGGTCAGTGGTCACAACCAGTCCCCTGCAGCTGACTGGCATGGGTAAGTCTGTCTGATTAACCCACCAACAGCAAGCAAGGCCCAACTATAAGAGGAGGTAGTACTCACCCACATGGAGTGCGCACCGCAAGGACCAATTTTGGGTGGTAGGGGAAGCTGTGCTACTGGACCCTACAGAACATCTACTACCATAGGCCATACTAGCAAGACAGAAAGTCATAGTAGCTCTACCTAATACCTAGAAACAAATAGGGAGGCTACCAAAATGAAGACACAAAGAATCATGGCCCAAATGAAAGAATAGATCAAAACTCCAGAAAAAGAACTAAACAAAATGGAGATAAGCAACCTTTCAGATACAAAGTTCAAGACACTTACCAAGGACAGCATAGAAAAGGTCCAGTCAGAAACAAAGGGTACACTTCTTTTCCATGCTGTTAGCACTCTTGCAAACATGGTGAACATTCCTAAAGAATGTTCCTAAAGAACATACCGGACTTTCTCTAAGTGTGGCAAGCATCAACCCTACAAAATAACACAGTACAAGAAGGGCAAGGATTCTCCATATGTGCAGGGAAAGTAGCATTATGACAGAAGCAGAGTAGTTATGGTGGGCTAACTATGCTGGTTTCCCCCAAAAAAGGTTAAAACTACAAAGAAGATTGTGCTGAGGCTTGAATGTGTTGCACCCAACTGCAGATCTAAGAGAATGCTGGGTATTAAGAGATGCAAGCATTTTGAACTGGGAAGAAATGAAAAGAGAAAGGTCCAATCGAACCAGTGCTAAGCTTCATTTTTTGTTTTATTTTGTGACAATAAAATCTTGAAGATATGTTCACCCCCAAAAAAGAAAATAAAAAAAAGGATGCACTAATTGAAATAAAAAACAATTTACAGGGATACAACAGTAGGGAGGATGAAGCTGAGAATCAAATCAATGATTTGGAATATAAGGAAACAAAAAAATAACCAATCATAGAACAAGAAGAAAAAATCCAAAAAACAAGGAAAGTGTAAGCAGCCCAGGGACAATGTCAATTGTTCCAATGTTTTCATCATAGGGGTGCCAGAAGGAGAAGAGAAAGAGGAAGAAATTGAAAATCTGTT